GTGATTGGTTCATCAGGAGACTTTATCTCTTCTGGGGGGAGCTCTCGTGTTTGCGATTCCTGGAAGAGGATTCGTAAGAACAGAGTGCTCTCATTTTAGCAATACATGCGTGCAATGTCTTCTTTATCATTTATTATCTGTGCTTTCGCCATTTTTCTTAATTAGGCATGGGCTAATCAGGTGCTGGATTTATTTGTTAGCGCTTTGGTTGTTCTGTTTTCTATTTGTCTTCTATTATCTTTCTAATCCCTTCCCTGTGCTTTTCTCAGGGCAACGTGATGCTTTTGCAAACTTGAGCTGGGTGTTAAATCTTGTGTTTGGGTTATCATCACAGGTACTTTTCCGCTGAGCACTGTCTCTCTGGCAGCAATGATGGGTAATGACTTTTCTTCTTGTTTGTTTGAGATACTCTGTTCAGTGGGTTCAAGTTTTGGTTTGTTTTTGAACCTAAGAGTTGTTCGAGACACGGCGTTTTTGTTTAAATTAATAGGGCTGTTTGTTTCTGGTTGTGTTTTAAAGGTCTCATGTTGCTGTCTTGTGCTCAGAGACTGCTGTCTGCACTGTTTATACTCTGGGGCTCTGTTGAGAGTTTTTATTACCTAATTTGTAATCAATAATTAAATGTTCCCTGGAAGCTAAAAATATGGTTTTATTCTCTATTTTCAGCATGAGGCACAGATATAGAGAGGACCGGACCCTGACCTTTTTTTTTTTTTTTCTTTCCCAAATTCCTTTCTAAGGTGCCTGGTGAGTCACACCTTACCCAACATAAAATCTCATAAAATGAGTCTTTGTATTAACCCGGTGTGATGTGGTTCTCCGTCTACCTGGCCCTGGTCTGGCATCACGGGACAGGCAGCCGACCCGAGACTGGAGCTCTCCTTTCCACCGACTCCACGACTTCAGACAAAGCTTGACTCTTTCAAGCAACTGCCCACTGAAAGATGCCTAATGCCCACCTGTGATCTGCAAGCCCTCACTCCAAGATAGGTCACCCTTTCAGGCCGAACTGACGTGTGCATTCCACATATAGATTTGTGATTTCACCTGTAATTCCCATCTCCGTGAACTTATAAAACCAAAACATAACCCAGCAGCCTCAGGAGTATTTTCTCAAGACCTCTTGAGACGGTGCTCCCAGGGCCGAGGTCACTCATATTGGCTCAGAATAAGCCTCTTTAAATATTCTCGCAGAATTTGGGTTTTCTGTCAATAGTATCTCAATTGCATGTCTCTTAATATACAAAATATTATAATTGTCCACTTAATCTGTCATTAACTTGAGACAGTCCACCATTGTTATTTTTCTACTTTTTTTGATCAGTGCCTTTTTTTTTTCGTTCTAACCTTGTCTGATGCCATGAACCACCGCCCTCATTTCCTCCCCAGCCTCTGCTCGCTTTCTCACCTCCAGCCTTCCTGGGTCACCCAATTGTGTGTCTATTTCGACAGAGAGTAGCCAGCGCTGCCTCGGGCTCTGAGTCTCTTTCTTCCAGCAGGTGAGTTTGGCCCTTTCACATTTATTGGTGTTACACCGATCTTATAGCATCGTATTTTACTGATTTATGCTTATTTGTGTTTTATTTTATTCCTATTTCATATTTAATCATATTTTAAAATTTTTATGTTATGCTTTCTGTCTTTATTGGTTTTGTCTTTGTCTTTCACCAGACACGATCTGATCTGTGATTTCATTCCTTGGTTTGTGTTCCTCAAAGGTGGAGGATTTGCCTTCCGTGGTTAAGTTTTTCTTGTGGTTTCCTAAATAACACAATGTTATAGAAGTTCTTCCATTTCCTATCGTGCATGCCTCTCCATGCCCAGGGCAAAGTCAGCTGGCTTCTACATCCTCCCTGCCCCCAGCAGAGTTTAACTGATGATAATGTCTTTCTTAATTTGTCTAGAGTCTTGTCCATACATTTAAATATTCTCGTATTTTTATTACCTGAGACATCAATAACAAATGATCAATTTAAAAGAAAATTGCTTTTCATCTTCTCTTCCTTCCCTTCCCTTCCCTCCCGTTGTTGTTACTTAAGCGTTCCTTTCTGCCTTGGTGTTGACATCTGTCCCCCAGTCCTCCAGCCACCTCCCTCCCTGCCCTGAGCTCTGTGCCGACATCTGCCTTCCAGCAGCTTCCCCCGTCCATCTCTCAGCTGCCAGATTCCCAGATTCCTGCAGTTACCTTGAGGGAGAGAGAATAAAGCTATGCATAAAATTCTGAGTTTGGAGATTCTGGACGTGGCTATCAGATAAAATACAGAATGTCTAATTAAATTTGAATTTCAGGTAAGTAACAAACGATTTTCTAGTATAAGTATAAGCCATGCAATATTTAAGCCAAGGCAAATATTTTATGGGACACACTTGTATTTTAAAAAATGCATCATTTATCTGAAATTGGAATCTGAGGAGGTATCTCGTCCTGTTTGGTTTGGCTGGTTGGTCCATGGGCTGTTTCGCTGCTTTTTGTCGGTTTCGCTACATCTGCCAGCCGGGTTCCGGGTGGAGGAGGAGGGTCAGGAGCACAGGCACTCACTCCTGCACACTCCCCACCCTCCCCAGGCGCCGGTCGGCCTCCCGATGACCCGAGGGCAGCCCGTGGGGAGCTGGGGCAGGACGTGCACCTGCAGCCGGCCCCATGGGACCCCCAGACTTGCGCTCTGGATGTGGGTGTCCATCAGGCCAGAGGTGGCAGGACGGATGAGGGTCTCCAGGGACTTCAGCCCGCACAACCTGGCAGCCCGGCGGAGCCTGGTGCCAGGGAGGGCAGGGAGGGGACAGGAGCCGAGCAGGAATGTTTTTCTCCCCACTTCCCCCCACCCCCAGTGGAGAACGGAGCTGCTTTGCCGGGACCTGCAGCCTCCTGGGGTCCCCTCCCTGCCGACCCCACAGCAGAGGGTGTCGTGGCCCGTTTGTGGGACGGAGGATGAACACAGAACATAAAACACAAATGCAGAACACAGAGAAAAACACGGACACACGTACAAACGGTTGACTTGAGTAATAATACACTGGGTCAGTTTTATTTTTATACTCTAAAAAATTAAAGTTAGTTCCTTGTACGTAACCGCCCAGGCATTGCAGCAATGGCCATAAATTCCGGAATAGCCTTAGGGAAGCAGACGTCCCCTGACTCAGAATCTCAAGGTGGTTGCTCTAGGCACTAGGCATAGATAAAGGACGGAGATTAGCAAGGACAGGCACGGTGAGCCACAGGGGGCATTTCTCATCCCCAGCTTCTCTTAGGGTGACCCCCTAAGATCTTCGGCTGAACCCCGGCAACTGTGCCTGGCTTAGGTCGCCCCTCCCTTGAGGGGTCTTACCCGTCATTGACTAACCAGCCATCTTATGGGGTGTACACAGCAATCACAGGAATAATGTGTTTATCGTGTGGCCTCCAGATCCCCAATGCAGTGGGGCGGGCCGCTCTTGCTACTCAAACCTCAGGTCCTTTGTTATGCCTCTAGGCAACACCTTTATTTATCACAGGGAGCCTGTCCGGAACAGATTACTTTCAAACGCTCTGGGCAGAACATGAACGTACATTACTCACTAACTTTAATTCTTAAACTAGGAAAATACATGTCAGTCCCCTACAGAGGGTCCTCCTAGTTTTGTGGAAGACATTGGAGATGCTCCTAGTTTCTCCAGCTCCTCTTGTTCAGGGTGGTGTCCAGGAAGAGGGGGGCCACACCATCTTCCCTCTGCCCTCTTAGGGCTGGGGTTCCTGGGCACATCGGGGGCAGGGCACCCCTCCCCAAGGGAGTGAGCCCGCACAGAGCCTTCCCTGGATAACGGGGGAGTGATTATTAACTGTCTCAGGAGGAGACTCATTTGTCAGACTTTATATGGAAAACAGAAAGTAAGCACTGACCCAGAGCACAGAGGTCGGCTGCAGCGCCCAGCCCGGGCAAACGCGTGCTGACCTCAGGGAGGGTCTGCCCAGCCTGGAAGGCAGGGAAAGTCTGCATGCACCTGGAGGCCGGCTGGGGGGCCAGGCCTTGACTCTGGATGCTGGCAGCACCCTGGCCCCGGCCCGGAGCAGCGTGTTTGGTGGGGAGTCCAGTCTCTGCCCCGTGAGGGACAGAGGACACGATGGCTCAGTGGCCACGGCTGCCCACAGTGGAGAGTAGGTTGGACACCAGGCCTCTCCATCCCTGGGGCCTTCCTGGCCCGTCTACTTTGACAACAGGGAGCACCTGCCTGCCCTTCCCCCTGGGTGCACCTGAGGCCCCTCTCCCAGTTGTCTGCCTCAGCAAAGAATTTGCGACTAAGACCCCAAAGGCAAATACAGAACAACAACAACAACAACAAAAATGGGACTTGATTAAAATTAAAAAGTTTCTGCACAGCAAAGGAAATAAATCCACAGAGTATACAGACAACCTATAGGATGGGAGAAAATATTTGCAAACTACACAGCCGACATGGGGCTCATATCCATAACCTACAAAGAACTCATGCAAATCATTAAGAAACAAACAATCCCATCAAAAGGTGGCAAAAGTCATGAACAGAAGTTTTTTTAAAGAAGATAGACGTGATGTCACCGTGATGCAGAGAAAGGGAATGCTTTGGAGGAGGGGGCTCGTGGCCCTGTAGACCGCTGAGTGCGGCCCCCAACCAAGTCCAGACTTCACATGACAAATCCCTTTATTAAACACAATATTTATACATGCTCATGCTAAGCTGGGGTCTGGGACGGTAGGACGGAGGGATGGTGGGGTGCTGGGATGGAGGGATGGTAAGATGGAGGGAAGGTGGGGTGCTGGGATGATGGGGTGCTGGGGTCTGGGATGGTAGGACGGAGGGGTGGTGGGGTGCTGGGATGGAGGGATGGAGGGATGGTAGGACGGAGGGGTGGTGGGGTGCTGGATGGAGGATGGTAAATGGGGGATGGTAGGATGGAGGAAGGTGGGGTGTGGGATGATGGGGTGCTGGGATGATGGGGTGCTGGGGTCTGGGATGTAGGACGGAGGGGTGGTGGGGTGCTGGGATGGAGGGATGGTAAGATGGAGGGATGGTAGGATGGACAGATGGTGGTGTGCTGGGATGATGGGGAGCTGGGGTGCTGGGAGGGAGGGATGGTAGGATGGAGGGATGGTGGGGTGCTGGGAGGGAGGGATGGTGGGGTGCTGGGATACTGCTATTTTATGACGCCGGGGTGCTGGGTGTTCCAGATGATTCCATGCTCTGCTCTGGGTCCTTGTAGGGCAGGGTCACAGCACCCTCGTGTGGCCACCTGGGGAACTGCAGGAACTCGCCTGTGCAGGGAGCTGATACTCTTCCTGTTCAGGGTCTGCCCCTTGGGAAAGGGGAGGATGGAGGTGGGGGGCGCCCCTCCGGATCCTCCTGCTGCTCCTGGGCATCCGGCTGCTCTTCCTGGCAACACTGGGCTCCTCCTCCCAGCGCCCGGCCACGCAGTGCCTGGCCTGCGGGGCGATGCTTTCTGCCCCTTCGCTTCTCTGCCAGTCCCGGAGGCTGGTCCTGAACAGCTGCCCGGTGACATCTGTGGGTCAGAGGTCTGCTCTCCTGTGCCTGCCTGGCCATGCAGAGGGCCGCACGTGCACACGCATGTGCACACTCACACATGTGTATACACATGCGTCCGCACACTCGTGTTCATGCTCACACACACACGTGAACTCTCCGGCAGTGGTTCCGGGGTCCTCCTGACTGTGGCGGGCCATCGCCGCACAGCCATCATGCCCGAGTGGCCCGACACGGAGTGTCGCCTCCCTCTGCACTCGCTTCTACTCGGAGGGTCCAGCCGCCGCCTTCCGGACCCCACGTTTCAGTTCTCACGCTGGCAGCAAAGTAGCCAAGCCCGCGTCACATGGCCCCAAAGTGGAGCCGGAGCCTGTAATCAGCTGCTTTGAGATGTTCTGCCTTTTCGGGCCAAACCAACCTACACCTTCCATGTATTGAATTCTGGCTTTACCTGTAATTCCCGTCTCCCTGAAAGGTATAAAACCAACGGTAACGAACCACTTGCTCAAGGCTCCTTGGGCTTGGCTCCAGACCATGGTCATGCATATTCAGCTCAGAATAAACCTCTTTGAATTATTTTACAGAGTTTGGGTTCTCTTCTGTTGACAACGGGATTTTTTTGTGCGTAGAATCATATTGTTTGTCACTAAAAACTCATCAACATTTAAAGTTTTTATAATCTTGTACCTTTAAAAATAAATCCTCTTCAGACCCCGGGTGGTCCCCTGGGCACCGTCCCCGCAGGGCAGAGCTCGCCTGACCTCCAGCCAGAGCTTTCCCCAGGATGCTTGTCTTGAGGTTCTGCATGTCCAGGACAGACACAGGCCACGTCCCTCCCGAGTGCCCCGGACAGACGGGCATGGCCTCCTGAGCCAGCCTACTCCCCCCTGTCCACGAAAAAAAGCCAACTCTGTAAAATGATTTTAAAGAGATTTATTCTGAGCCAAATTTGAGGACCATGACCCGGAGCCACTCCCAAGAAGCCTTGAGCAAGTGGACTCGCTGTGCCTGGGTCACAGTTTGGTTTTATACATTCCAGGGAGACAGGGGTTACGGGTAAAGTCATAAATCAATACGTGGGAAGCATACATTGGTTTGGCCCAAAAAGGTGGGCCATCTCGAAGTGGGGGCTTACAGGTTACAGGTGGGTTTAAAGACTCTTTGATTTGTAATTTGTTAAAGACCATGAAGTTTTGTCTAAAGGCTTGGCATATTTCAACATAAGGAGCTGTTATCAGAGATGAGCCACCAGACATAGATTGGTTGTGTAAATTGAGGACCTGCAGGTTTGTCTTGCACACGCTTAGCCTGTTAATGGGCTACAAAGGATGTCCCCAAGAAGGGAGCAGGGCATGAGGAGGCCTGTCCGACTTCCCTCCTCCTGGCAGACAATTTCGCTTTAGGATATTCCTTTGGCCACAAGGGGGTCCATTTAGTCAGCTGGTGGAGGGGTGAGCCTTAAAATTTTATTTTAATTCACACCTCGCAAAACCTGCAGCCCGACCCCCCCCCATCCCCAGCGACGACACACACCAATAACGGGAATGTTTCTGGCATCACAGAAGTGCTCAGGTGCAGCACACACCTGCAACTCAGGCCTCCTGGGTGGGGAGGGGGAGCCCTGCCCAGGTAGTGGGGGCTGTGCCTGGCCTCCCTCCTGCTCTCACCTGGGCAGGTGCCATGCTGACTCCCTTCTCTTCTACTTCCTCTCCTTGCTCAGGTCTCAGCTCAACTGTCCCCTGCTTAGGGACACTCCCCCCACCCCATCGCTTGGGGTCAGAACCCCCTTCACAGGCTGTCAGGCTCCCAATCCTACATTTGATGTCCTGTCTCCCCAGGGGGCCCTTCCCTCCCCCAGGCAGGGGCAAATATCTATTGTGGCATGGGTGCAGGAGGGAATGCGTAGGGGGACACGCAGGAATATGGCCAGGAGAGGGTTGGGGGAGGGGCGGAGATGAGCCCGGGTGCGCAGACGCTAGAGCCAGAGGGGAGAGGGGCGGCCAGGTCCAAGGAGCGCTGACCTCCCCCTGCGGTGCCCTGCCCCTCCCCTCCCCCATCACCGCCACCGCCCCGCCCCTCCACTCCATCGCTCCGCCCCTCCACCGCCCCGCCCCTCCGTCGCCCCGCCCCCTGCGTCCTCGCTGGCGCAGGGCGGGCGGCGGTTAGCCCCACCTCTGCCGCGTGGTCTGCAGCCGACCGGAACCGCGTCCTGGACCTCTCGTTGCTAGGCAACCGCCGTTGGTCCCACGGCCGAGCTAGCGGACGCGGCTGGGACGCTGCGCTGGGGACCCCGAGGAGGCGCCATGGACCTGGTCATCACGCAGGAGCTGGCCCGCGCCCAGAGCCAGCAAGGTGGGCCCGGGACCCTGCGACCCCCGCCCGCACCCCCGGCCCCCGTGATCCTGCCCCCTGCCTGACGGGTGACCGTCTGAGGCTTTCAGGTGGTCCCCGAACTTCCGGGGCAGAGCAAACGTGAGGAAAGTGCCTTTAGGGCCCCCAAGCGGCCGCACTGCGGACCCTCTGGCCCCAGGACCCCCGCCCCCACCCGGCCGGGCGGCCCCCATCCCCGTGCTCAAGGCCGCCCCCCGCAGACGCCGCCGCCCTGAGGAGGGCCTACGAGCTCATCAAGTCGGGCAACGTGGGGAAATCCGAGCTGGACCCCAGGGAAAGCTTCAGCCCCGACCTGTTCGTGCTGTGTGCCGAGCAGGCCCTCAAGGTAACTAGCCCCGCCCCGGGACAGGTCGGAGGTGAGAGGTCGCTGGGTTAGGGTGCGGTGGGCGGGCGGGGGAGAGCGGCAGCCCCTGGGCGGGATCCCTCGGTGGGGCCTGATCTGGAAGGGGGTTGGTGTGCTCTGGCAGATGGGGCAGCCCGAGGTGAGCGCCGACTGCATACAGATGTACTTCAAGGTGAAGGGGCCTGTCACGCAGTTCCTGGGCCGGGCGCACCTGTGCCGGGCCCAGCTGTGCGCCCCGCAGTCCACGGACAACCTGGTGAGTGGCGTCCCCACCCTGCCCCCACTGACCTCTTCACCGGCTCCAGGTGTCACGGCAGAAAGTCATAGTCCAGTTTAGCACAAGTGACCAAGTTCGCTTTCACAGGGACGTGAAACTGGCGCCGTGTCCTGTTAGGGTCTTGCCGGGGCCGTGGAGTCTGATGTGTTCCGTGTGACCACAGGTCACAGGTCTTTGCAGGGCGGTTTCTGACCCTCACAGCTGCTCCCGGCCAGGTCTGGCCAGGCTCCAGTGAGGTCAGCGTCCAGGGCAATGGTGGTGAGCCGCGATTGGTGTTTTTGGTTTAACTGAGCATTCTTTTTTTTTTTTTTTTTTTTGAGACTTACTCTGTTGCCCGGGCTACAATGCCATGGCGTCAGCCTCCTGCCTCAGCCTCCCAGGTAGCTGGGACTACAGGCATGCGCCACCATGCCCGGCTAATTTTTTATGTATATATTTTTAGTTGTCCAGCTGATTTCTTTCTATTCTATTAGTAGAGATGGGGTCTCGCTCTTGCTCAGGCTGGTCTCAAAGTCCTGAGCTCAAAACGGTCTGCCCATGTTGGCCTCCTAGAGTGCTAGGATTACAGGCAAGAGCCACCACACCCAGCCTAACTGTGCATTCTCTGTGTTGTTGTAGGAGGAATTTGAGAACTGTGTGACTCAGTACATGAAGGCTATCAACTTTGCGAAAGGAGAGCCGAGGTAGGCACTGTCGGATGGGCCTTTCTGACTGGTTGCGTGGGAGATGCCAGAGCCAGAACTGACCGAGTGGGCGTGTTCATTGGCACTTAGGGTGGGACACCGTCGTTCAGACACGGTTCATCCGTGTCTGCAGGCAGTTCTTGTCGTGATCTGCAGGTGGCCAGGGCCCCTCTTGGCCACTCCCCCTCCCTGGGCCGCCCCCAGCACCCACCGCCTGCCTGTGCTGCCCCTGGTGGACGCCCAGCCGGGCCTTCTGTCCCTAGAGGTGACCTGGGACACCCCAGCATGATTTCTGCCCGGCCCATGCCTTCTCCATCAGAGACAAACATCACTGTGGAAACTGCAGAGCCCGTGTGCAGACTGGGGTTAACGCACTCATTTAAATGGGGCGCAGCGTTTGGAGGCGTGCAGCGTCTGCTTTCTTTCTGTCAGTGGCCTTCTCTGGCCAAATCTCGATGTAAACCTGAGGACACGGCCCAGCCCACAGACCTGCCTCCGTGGGGACAGGGCTGGGGAGGCCTGGCCTCACACCGGAGGTCCTGAGGTCAGTGGGTGTCTCCACAGGGAGCCGTGAGTGGCCGGGGAGAGGCCTGGCCTGTGCTGCAGACGGGCCGGTGGGTGGCGGGGGCACTTGGAGGGCTGGCGGGGCGCCTTCAGGAGGCCTGGCTGCCCTGTGGGACCCAGGGCGGGAGCTGAGCAGAGGGAGGGTGGCTCAGGCCGGAGAGAAGGAGCCCTGTTTGCGGGCGTGTGGGAGTCAGGGGCTACGTCCCTTTCTGGCGGGGTGACAGCTCTGGGGGCCACCCCTCTGGTGTGGAAGGCCCTCTAGGCCGGGGGCTCCGGTCAGGACACCTGGGCTTCCCCTCCTTTCCAGGAAAAGCAGGGAAAGGCGAGTCCTGTCTCGGGGCCATGCTGCGGCTCCCCGAAAACTCCCCGAGGACACGTGGCCAGGGCAGGACACCAGCAGGCGCCACGGCCACGCACCCCCCTCCACTCGCCCTTCTTGGCACCATGCCGCCTGCCCCGGGGAGAAGCCCAGACCCCCAAGAGGAGCCTCTGCTCACTTCTCCAGCCCCTTGTCCACTTCACCAGGATGCTGGGAGGCTTTGTCCCTGAAGTTTCCCTCCTGGTCATTTTCAGCCACGGCAACATGTCTCCTCCTCCAGGAAGCCTTCCTTGATTCCCTCATCCTTGCCCATTCTTGTCTGTCCCTTGAGAGGCAAGGGAGGGAGGCCTTGCTCAGTGCTGTATTTTCACGGGGTCTGATCAGCCGGAGGAGTGACTGACTGAAGAGGTCGTGGTTCGCACTCAGGAGCCTGTGGCTGGGTCCCCGCAGCCGGGGCTGAGCTGGAGCCACCTGCACACCTGAAGTGAGGCCACCAGGCCTTCCCCAGGGGGAAACTGCTCTGTGCCTGGTGCTCCCCCAAGCGCAGGTGCGGCCCTGGCTGCTGCCATCTGCTGGACACGCGGAGGAACGCGTGACTCTGTGGAAACAGGGGCCCTGGCCTTGTGGCTCAGGCGTCCTCCCCCTGGCCGCAGGTACTACTTCCTAGTGTATAACGCCTCCGTGCTCTACTGGCAAATGGTGAGGCCCTTCCTGCAGCCCGGATACCACCACCACCTGATCCCCAGCCTCTCCCAGATCGTGAGCGTGCTGAACCAGATCGAGGAAGAAGACAAGGAGTGGCGAGTGGAGCTGATGCTGTGAGTGCGCGGCCCTGCCTCCCGAGGGGACGGAGTGGGGCGTCCAGACTCAGAGCAGAGGAAACACGGCCCTGCCTCCCGAGGGGACGGAGTGGGGCATCCAGACTCAGAGCAGAGGAAGGGGCCCTGCCTCCCGAGGGGACAGAGTGGGGCATCCAGACTCAGAGCAGAGAAAGGGGCCCTGCCTCCCGAGGGGACGGAGTGGGGCGTCCAGACTCAGAGCAGAGGAAGGGGCCCTGCCTCCCGAGGGGACGGAGTGGGGCGTCCAGACTCAGAGCAGAGGAAACGGGGCCCTGCGCCACTGGCCCAGCTCGTGGGTTAAACACCCTAGTTCAGTAATAGAATTTGTGATGCCGCAGGCGTGTGGGCAAGACGAAACCATGCCAGGGCGAGCGGGCAGGGCCAGCAGTCCAGGCGGCCCCCGAGGAGCGGGGCTCTGGGGGCCGCCAGGGCAGGGCGGCGGGTGCTGGGGCCTCAGCCCCGAAAAGCCGCCGTCACTGCCGGCCGTCAGCAAAGGGCACTGGTCACCGTGCGGGGCGGCGGACCAACCGGGCTCTGTCGGAGCCTTCGCTGTGCTGGGTGAGCGTTCACAACCAGGGTCCCGACTGTGCCAGGGCCAGAGAGTCCGCACTCAGGTCCGGGTCCAGAGTCTGTAGGCATTGGCCGGCTTCGTAGCCTTCGGGGAACCTTTAAAAGAAAGTAAATGCAAATAAGACCTTTCTTTAAAATGTCATTTCCAGGCCGGGCATGGCGGTCCACACCTGTAGTGCAGCACTGTGGGAGGCTGAGTTGGGAGGATCGCTTGAGGCCAGGAGTTTGAGACCAGCCTGGGCAGCATAGTGAGAACCCTGTCTCTACAAAAAATTTTAAAAAATATATCATTTTTAAATGTCCTGGGGAATTAAAAGGCCAGTAATTTCCTCTCCTGCTGCTAGGGACGGCAAGCTTTCCTGGCTCCTGCTGGCCCTTCCTGGCGGGGAGCTACTCCCAGGCTATCTTTCTGAAGCTGGTGAAACATAAAAATGATAAAAGTGTAATAACCTGGTGATTACACGTTTTCAGCAGAAAACAATTTCAACAAGGTTTAATATCAACCCTGTTATCCAGGGAACTTCTTGAGTGCTACCTGCAAGCTGAAAGAAAGGAGGAGGCTGCTAGGTTCTGTTCCACCGCGGCGCCGTTCATAAAATCGAATGTGCCGCAGAAATACCGGCAGATATTCTCTCTTATGGTGAGTGGACGTGTTAAATACACAGTTACAAGAAGTGGTTTGCTTAAAAGTCAGTGCTCAGTAAAGTACGCATACAAACTGCAAACAAGCCCATTAATTGAGAGAGAGAAAAACATAACATGAACAAAGCAAATACAAACAGAATAGCAATTCATCCTATGGAAAGACACATATAATCATGATATTTTGAAAACAAAACAAGATCTTTTGCCTTTATTGTTACTCTTTGAATATTTCCTTTGTAACAGCATTGATTTTTTTTAAGTTAATACAAAATTTATAAAACTACAAGTAATTACTATAATACAAGAATTTGTATGGAAAACATTCATCAGCTATTCATTTTTATGTACAAGGAATGAGCATAAGCTGTATCTGAAAAAGCTAAATATAACAATGAGAAGATACATGTTATTTATAGGTATTAATTACAGGAGGAATATTTACAAAATATCTACTGTTTCCCCAAAAATAAGACAGTGTCTTATATTTATTTTTCCTCAAGAAGACACCCTAAGGCTTATTTTCAGGGAATGTGTTATTTTCCCCTCAATGCCTCAGCTTGCAGAACGCACAGGATGGCCGGGACCTGACAGGGGTAGCCGACCTTGTTGGTGGGGCTGCCTGCACCTTTCTGGTCACCTCTGGGATAGTAGCTGTCACGACTGGGCAGATGAGAAGGGCTGCTCCTCTTCTTTACCACTCCAGGACATGCTTGGGTTATGCAGATGCGCTGTGTAGCCACGCCCGTCATGAGGGCTTATTTTCTGGGTAGGGCTTCTATTGCGCAAATGCTTAGAAATCCTGAGAGGGCTTATTTTATGGGTAGGTCTATTTTCAGGGAAACACAGTAGACAAAATCTAGATCTCTACCTATTGTTTAAATCTAAATTAATATTCTGTTCCATTTTATGACAGGTTCGTCATGAGTTAATGGATATGCGTCAGTTAAAAGAAGAAAAGAAAAATTCCATTAGCCTTTCGGTTGCTTTCCTCATTAGTATGCTAAAAGGGTAAGTAGCTTGGGGAGGGAGAGCAGAAGTTGAGTTTCCTGAGTGCTGAGCTCAGGAAGACTATTCTTTCTCCCCAGGGACAGGGACACCATGTCCCTGCAGGTGAGGGAGTTTGGGTTGAAGGGAGCTGGCCTGGGAGGTAGGGCCTGGGAGGCAACCTGGCGCCACCTGTGAAAGCAGGGCCACGGGAAGGGGCCTGGGCTTCTGAGCCAAGTGGAAAGACGGGTTCCAGGAGAAGGAAGTCACCAACAGTGTCAGATGCCTCTGACAGGTCATGCCAGATAAGTCTGGATTTGACCATGACATTGAAGAGAACAAGAGCAGTTTGTAGGGAAACCCTCACCCAGCAGGTTAGAACGAGTGGGGGAAGGATGGTTACCTGGGAGTGGAGAGAGGACTCTTTTGAAAAGTTCCCTGTGCAGGGCAGGAGAGCTGTAATGGCAGCTGGAGGGAATTAGGATGGTGGAGAAGATAGTGTATTTTCGGGGAGTGAGGAGATGAAAGTGTGTGAGGGCTGAGGGGAGTGAGGAGGTGACAGTGTGTGAGGGCTGAGGGGAGTGAGGAGATGACAGTGTGTGAGGGCTGAGGGGAGTGAGGAGATGAAAGTGTGTGAGGGCTGAGGGAGTGAGGAGATGAAAGTGTGTGAGGGCTGAGGGGAGTGAGGAGGTGACAGTGTGTGAGGGCTGAGGGGAGTGAGGAGGTGACAGTGTGTGAGTGCTGAGGGGAGTGAGGAGATGACAGTGTGTGAGGGCTGAGGGGAGTGAGGAGGTGACAGTGTGTGAGGGCTGAGGGGAGCTAGGAGGTGACAGTGTGTTTGAGGGCTGAGGGGAGTGAGGAGGTGACAGTGTGTGAGGGCTGAGGGGAGGGAGGAGGTGACAGTGTGTGAGTGCTGAGGGGAGCGAGGAGGTGACAGTGTGTGAGTGCTGAGGGGAGCGAGGAGGTGACAGTGTGTGAGTGCTGAGGGGAGCGAGGAGGTGACAGTGTGTGAGAGCTGAGGGGAGCGAGGAGGTGACAGTGTGTGAGGGGTGAGGGGAGCGAGGAGGTGACAGTGTGTGAGGGCTGAGGGGAGTGAAGAGGTGACAGTGTTCGAGTGCTGAGGCGAATGAGGTGACGACAGTGTTGTGGTTGAGGACATTCAAGACATGGCTGTGTGTTTGGTTGCTGAGGGGTGTGAAGAGATCTGGGTGTTTATGTGCTGAGATCATTCTGGTGAGAGCAGATGCTGACCACAGGTCCTAGAGCAGATGACAGGAGAGAGGACATTATTTTCCAAGGAAGGGTTCCCTAGTCTGGTCGTGCCTCTGGTGGAAGGGCGTATGCAAGTCTTCCTGGGTGACGTTTTTATGATGCAGCTGGAGTGAGGGAGGGTGAGGAAGTGTGACAAAGTGTCTGCGACATTCGAGGAGACAAAGGACAAGGGATTATTTTGGCCTTTCTTTTCAGTGGGAACCAATTTCTAGACTCTCTTTGGATAAATTGCATTAACATAATAGGATCTTTTGATTATTTTGTATTTGAATTAATTCTAGAAAACTGGATAAAAATGAATTACCAGAAGATGTCGAAAGTATTCTGAAAAAGGCCTATAAACATTTAAGTCATTACAATCACCAGCGCTTTCCTTCAATCAGAGAAGATAAGTAAGTGTTTACGTTTTTCCAGCATACATTTACATATAGGTAGTCTTTGTGCAAAATTTATGCAAGTAGTGGAAAATGTGGAAAAATATAAAAACAATCAACTAGAACCACTTTAGCAAAAGTCAGCCATGTGGATGTTTTTTAGTAAATTTCCTTCTTTTTTATCCTGAGGTTGGTACTGTTTGGGCAGTACTTTGATATCCTACTTTTTAAAATCAAATTTAACTTCCAAGCATAAGCATTTTCAAGTTATTACAGCTTCTTCTCACACATTTCTGAATAGCTGCATAATGCTTCATTGTGTGGGGGAAACATACATTTTCCTTGAGCATTTCCCAGGCTAGTTTGTTCTAGTTCTGTGCTTTCTTGACTCCTCCGAGCAGCCTTAGAGTCTAGGATCAGTCCTGGGCTAGATTCCCGCCTGAGGCATCTGCACAGCACTCCCCAGTTATTTTCACAGAAGTGACAGGGTTTGTTCTCAGCGGCTGTTTTGTCACATTCTCATTAGCACTGTGTGTTCATTTATGAGATGGGGTGGAGCGTTGTTAACATAGCAGGCGGAAGTTATCTTATCGATAGGACAGCCCTGGGAAAGACACATCAGCTGTCTCTGGCTGTGCAAAAAACCACCACCAACTTAGCAGCTCCAAGCGATGCTCACTTGCAGCCTCCGTGTGTGCGGTCAGGGTGTGCTGGGCGGGGTCTCTGAGGAGGCCGCACTGGGGAAGGGGCGACGCCTGCCAAGCCCACGTGGGTGTCGGCAGGATTCTGCTTCTCACTCAGTGAGGGCCTCGCTCCCTGCTGCTGTGGGCACCTCCACGTGACAGCCGTTTGCGAAAGGCAGCACGGAGGGTCGGCTGGTGTAGCAGATGTCACGGTTGTCTGAATCCAGCCGAGGCACTGGGCTCCGCTCCACGTGAGCTCGCCTCTCGGTTAGATGCAGGTCACTCAAGGGGAGGGGGTCACTGGAGACCCTGAACCAAACAGGAGGCAGGACGGGGGTCTCACAGGTCTGGTGGTGGTGGGGGCTGGGCGCCCAGGGAGGATGCAAACAGGTCCGTCTGGCTCTCCGGGACGGGGAATGGGAGTGGCGGGGGAGGCGGGGAGTGGACATAGTGAATGGGCACTTACGTGTGCACATGTATGAGGGTTTTTCTGAAGGAGGCTGTCTGTTCCGATTCTCCAGGTTCCAACTGGAGTCAGGCAGAGCTCAGCCGTGGCCCTGGCTGTGGCCTGCAGCTTTGCCTTCTGTGGCTGGGGCTCCGGGTTAGCGCTCAGGACTGAAGTGAGGGTCTCTCCTGACAGTCTCATCATTCCCTCCCTTGGGACATTTCTGCAAGCAGGATCTGGGGCGCTGGTGCACGCAAGGGGGTGTGCCTTCCGCCCTCTTGGCGTCAGTCTGTCTGTGCCTTTGCTGATGAAGTTGAACGTTCTTTCATGTATTTGCTACCATTTGTTCCTTTGGTTAACTTTCTTTCATCTCTTTGACCTGATTTCTTAAAAGTAGCATATGAATCATTTTACTATCGACTCGTAGAGTCGTAGAGTCGATTTCTATTTTAGGGTGAGCCCTTCAGCTCTGGTGTGTTTACAAATTGTCCCAGTTTATTTACCTTTTAGTTTTTTTTTTTTTTTTTAAATAATTCTGGGTTGCGCCAACCTGCAAGGACAGTCTGGGCCATGTCCTGGCCAGACGCCGCCGTCGTCCTGCACCTGCGTTGGCCGGGACCCCCGCGTCTCCGTGGCTCCACTTTTGTGAACATCTGGTTCTGCTGTGCTCTGGCTGGAGCGGCCAGAGGAGCACTGTGTGATTTGGACACGTTAGGTTTCCCTGTGGCTTCCCGCCCAGTCAGCGTTTAGTCATGGCCCCAGGTCGCTGCCCCCGGGCTGGGAAGGGCAAGTGTGTTCTCTGCTTGCTGAAGAGACGCCCTCACGCAAGCTGCCAGTCAGCGCTGCCTTTGGGTGGATTTCCATGGTCCTTCCCAGGAGCTCCAAGAGCCTCGGAGACTTCCCCATACTCTGGGGGCCGCTGACGCTTGTCCACTAGGACTCCTGTATCTGGAATTCTGGGAGAGGAAAAGGCCGTTCTGCTAACTGAAAACCAAAAAGGACTGAGAACCGGTGACAGGACCTTGGACAGATTCTCTGTTCTTGGCTTGCCCGGCAGGTGCCTTCCCTGGAGCCCCGTGGGGGATGAGGAGGTGGAGAAGGCCCACCAGTGCCCCTGGAGGTGGCGGGGGTGGGCAGAAGGGCCCGCTCCCCCACCGCAGAGCAGCCCCCATCCCCGAGTAGCCCCCTGTCCCAGAGCCCCCCGGCTGGAGAGGGGAGGATGGAACACTTCCTCGAGCACCACGTGGGTGGTGACCACGGGCCAGACGTTTGTATCGGTATTTCCAGGTAAGATGGTGGCTATTACCTAGGACAGGGCAGAGAAGGTGTAGGCTTGTCCCCAGGGGACGTCTGGCCGTGTGTGGAGGCACTCTTGGTGGCGCCACTGGTGGTGCCGCCAGCACGTAGCGGGCACAGGCTACAGACGCCGCTAACACCCCACAGCGCTTGGGCGGGTCACACCAGCAGCGTGGTCCGGTCCAAAATGTCAGATGTTGAGGCTGAGATTCCCCGGTCTGTCTAAGCCGGGACCACTCTCTTGAGTCTTACAGCTTAAAAATGATAATTCTTGAAACGAGGTGGTTTAGTCCAAATCTTGCTCTTTTTCAAAGTCGTGCAGGCCACTGTCGGCCCTTTGCACTTGGGTGTACGTTGTGGCATCAGCCTGCAGGTCTCTGCGCAGACCCAGACTGGCGGCTGTGGTGCTGCTGGTCGGAGGAGCCCAGGCTCTGCGCCAGGAAGCTCACGCGCCCGCCCCGCGCAGCGGCCTCTTTCCATGCCAGGACAGGACGCAGCACGGCGCCTGCTCCATCCCAGCTGCACGCCCGGGGCGGTGCCAGGGCAGGTGCTGGGCTCTGGTCCTGCAGCCTGAAGGCTGGGCTGGGCTGCCACGGCAGGATGTCTGTTTCGTTCGTTTGTTTTATTTTATTATTTTATTTGTTTAATTCCCGCCTCTGATTGAACAGCGGCTGTTTACCACGCAGGCGTGTTGCTCTGTCACCCACCGCTATTTGTTTGTTTCCAGAATGCTGTTGCTCTTCGAACTGGCTTACCTCTCTCTGATCTTGAAGTGCGTGGACATCTCCTCCAACTGCCTCACAGACCTGAAGAAAATCGGAACCAACGTAGGTGGCTTCGCGACGGCTGCTGGTCAGGGGCGTGCCGGCGCTCGCCTCGCGTCTGGACGCAAAGGCCGGGCAACGGAAGAGCCGTTTGCAGAGCCGTGGCCAAGGGCCCCGACGCGTGGCTGGCAGCCGCCCTCTGCGCGTGCTGCGTGCGTCTTGCGGCTGCGAGCGGTGGCTTTTGCGGTTTTGCGTCTGCCCCTTCCCCTCAGCCTCTGTGGCAGGTGCCGGCCAAGCCGCCACTGGCCGTTTGTGCGTAAGTCTCATGGCGTTACCGATCCAGGGCCCACCCCCCAACCCCGCCACTGGACACTGAGTCACACGCCGTGGTCCTCCCTGGTCCTCGGTGGCACCGTCGGAAGTCTCAGTGACCTGTGGTCAGCCGCAGTCTGAAAATAGTAATATAGTTTGAGAGAGAGAGAGCATGCTGACATGACTTTTATTATCGTATGTTGTGATAACTGTTCTGCTGCATCACGTCATTGTTAATCTCTCACTGTGCCTAATGCATAAGTTGAGCTTCGACGTAGGTGTGGATGTGCAGGAAAACACATGGTGTACGTAGGGTGCGGTGCTGCCCGGGGCTTCAGGCACCCACTGGGGTCTTGTAACGCGGCCCCTCAGGTAAGGGGGGACCACGGCATAATTTTTTGCTTATTACAGAAAAGGCTACCCTGAACATTTGGTGCCTAAAGCCTTTTTCTGCATTTACGGTTTTTCCCTAAGATACGTTTATTGACGTGAAATTACTAGGGAGCTTTCACTTGTAAGACTTTTAAACACATACTATAGTATTGCCCCTAGAAAAATTCTTACACTCTGCCAAACGAATGCAAAAGTGCATGCTCCGGGTTTGTCCTTTAATTTAAGAGACGGTGAACGGCCCCTTCCAGAGAGGGGCAGGGACGGGTGTTGACATCTGGCCGTGGTGACGGTTTTCTGAGTTTAGTTACGTGTCCAGGCGTCCCACATTGTGCACTGAAAATATTTGAAGTTCGCTGTATGTCAGTTATTAGTAAAATCATTTAAAATAAGAACCACAGAAACATCAGCAAGTAAAAATCTCCAGCGGCAGCATGGAAGCAAGGTTGTGATGCTAACCACGCAGTTGCTGTGCTCTCGTGCGGCCTTGCGTTGCGACACGGGAGAGTCCTAGGAGAGTCCTAGGAAAGTCCTAGAACGTGCTTTCTGTTTTTAGAGACAGGGTCTTGCCCCACCGCCCAGGCTGGGTGCAGCGGTGCAACCACAGCTCACCGCAGCCTCGAACCCCCGGGTTCCGGCGACGCTCCCACTGCAGCCTCCCAGGCAGCTGGGGGTACAGCTGCCGCCACCACGCCCCACTGGTTTTTTAACTTTTTTGTAGAGGTGGGGTCTTGCTGTGTTGCCCAGGCTGGTCTTGGACTCCCAGGCTCAAACTATCCTCCTGCTTTGGCTTCCTAAAGTGCTGGGATTAACAGGCGTGAGCCTCCATGCTGGTCTGTTATTTATTTTTTTCTAAGATTATAACAATGGCACTTATTTAACTATGATAAATTCAGAAGACTTTTAAGGAGAAAAGGAAAAAAAATGTCTGGCCATGTTCCTGCCCACAAATAGCTTCTGAGCATTTCCACGCAGACACCTGAAGCTTTTTCCCCGAGTCCAGGGCCGTGAGCATGGGGTTCACGTCCATCTTTCCAGCCCCTGATTGGCGGGTGCTTTCCCAGGTCATCAGATGTGACAGATGTGGGTTTCTTTTTCTTTTTCTTTCTTTTTTTTTTTTTGAGACAGAGTCTCACTCTGTTGCCCAGGCTAGAGTGCCGTGGCGTCAGCCTAGCTCACAGCAACCTCAAACTCCTGGGCTTGAGCGATCCTCCTGCCTCAGCCTCCTGAGTAGCTAGCTGGGACTATAGGCACGCACCACCATGCCTGGCTAGTTTTTTCTATATGTTTTTAGTTGTCCAGCTAGTTTTTTTTCCTATTCGTAGTAGAGATAGGGTCTCACTCTTGCTCAGGCTGGTCTCAAACTCCTGAGTTCAAACAGTCTGCCCCACTCGGCCTCCCAGAGTGCTAGGATTACAGGCGTGAGCTGCTGTGCCCGGCCCATACATGAGTTTCAATGCATGTACACTGCTCGTTGTGCGTTCGTGTCGTGATTGATCTGTCCCTTCCAATGAGACGTTGAGAGTCTCATAAGACGTGTTTTCCACTGAAAGTTCGCTCACGTTGAAGGTGTGAGTGGTGCTTGATTGTGAGGCCCTGGTGCAGTTTTGAGGGCCAGTCGCTGCCGCTGTGACATGGCCTGAGCGACTCGAAACCAGTTAACCCGGGTGGGCGCAGACGCGGCCTCCTCCTGCGCGGAGCCCTGCGTCAGGTGGGGCAGGCGCGGCCCCGGCGGGGCCTCTGACCCTCGCGCCCTGGCCATGCCCTGGGCCCAGGCGCGCAGCACCGAGGCGCCTGTCCCTGGGGCAGAGCTGCCATCATAGCCCGTCCCCACGTGCCGCGGGCACTTCCCGGCCTCTGTGGGCGTTTCCCGTGGAGGGTGTGTCCCGTGGAAGGCGTGCTCCATGGAGCAGGGGCCTCCTGTGTGTCCTGAGGACACGTGACCCGCGGCGGCACTCGCAGACGGGTAGCTGAGTCGTCCTTGGTGTCAAGGCGCGCCGGTTTAGGGGCGCGGCCTGGGTGGCGGCAGCACGCTGCTCCCTGGGCCTGGGCGAGGCTGCCGGGGCCTGGGGGTCTCTCGTGGGGAAAGAGCTGGTGTGTGACAGCTCGGACTTCCAGACTCGAACCCCTTGCTGAGGCCCCGAGTCCCGAGTGTCTGGGCCGGGACGAGCCTCCAACAGGAAACCTCAGGAGCCCGGCCTGGGCGTGGCCGTGGAGGGCGAGCGCGTGGGGGTGGGCGGGGCCCCCACCCCAAGACATGCCTGGAGCGGAGCTCCCGCCACCTGCCGCCTGGGCCTCTCCCAAGGGCTTGTGTACCCTGACCCCAGTCAGCGATTAAATAAGACAAAATATGCTTGCTAAATTCCGTAAGAGGAAGCTTACGTGAAGTTGGGTCAATTACTTAAAAACGGTGCGTCCACTGAAGTTAGCGAGCTGCCCCGCGAGCTTCCTCACCCGGACCGTGGCGTCCTCTGCACTGTCTCGTGCTGTGCGTGTTGGATTCCTGCTGAGTGACCTTTGACATTAACACGCATGGCGCTTTCACTGAACGTCTCGCTGTGTGCAAACCCGTGTCCGCAGGCTCCCGGGAAGCAGATTGAAATTGAGTGTCTGGAGTACGAATTAGAAGCTTCAACTCTTGAAGATAATATTAAACTCTACGTCCGAGCCGCAGTTGAGGTGAGCCCTTTAACGGGAGCTGTGGTCACATGGAGTTATCTTGCAAATTCCCTGGCACTCGGTGAGAGGTGACTTTGTGCCGGAGTTGGCGGTGCTGGGACGTGGCCTGGGCCCCTGCGGGACCCAGCCTTGCAGGAGGCGCAGAGCAGCCGGGGCGCCCTGTCCCGCCACCTGGGCGGGGGCCTTCCACGGCTGACCGCGTGTGCCGGTGCCTCGCACGTGGTGGGCGCGCAGCGAGCGTGTGTTTAAGACACGGTTTACGGAGAGCAGCTCGGCTGCCGCATTTGACCGTGAAGCTGCGGCAGAGGCCGGTGGCTGTGGTGCGGTGTGCACACCCCGCGCCGCCCCTCCGCCGCAGAGGGTTTGGGGGCGGAGCCCCACCTAGGAGGCTTTGACAGACTCGTCTCAGCGCTGAGCCCCGGCTGTTCGTGAGTCCCAAGCGCAGGCTCCACCCCAGTCGCCCAGGTGCGGCAGAGGTGTCAGGGCTGTGGGCATGACCCGGCGGGCACGGGACAGACAGGCACCCGTGGCTCTGTGCAGGGCGTGGGGCGCTCGAGCCCTTGAGAGTCCGGCCTGCGCCTGCCTGCTGGGAAGGGTGGCCGTGGACACCTAGCCCAGGCGCCCCTTGGGTGGCAGCCGTGCCGGGGCACAGGCCCCGCGAAACACACGGTCAGGAGCCGGGCAGACCGCGTGCGTCGTCTTGCACAGAGCACACCTGTCCGCGCGAGTGCGGAGCACGGCCACGCCTCGGGAGTGCCACGTCTCGTGGGCCATCCGATCCCTTCCCGGGAGGGTGCTGGGCCGCAGGCCAACGGGCGGAGTCCCGCGTTCCCGGCGCGCCAGCTTCACGTGCTTCCCCAACTTGCGACCCCCGCTGCAGGCCTGGGAAACGCTGGCGGCCAGCTCTCCCGGGTCGTGGCGGCATCAGCCGGTGACGACGCCACTGATCTCACGGCCGGCGCGGCGTGGCGGCCGGCGTCCTCTCCGCAGGCCCAGCTGGACATCATCCAGGCGCTGGACGTGCTGCTGCAGCGAGCGGTGCGGCTGGGCGACCCCCGGGCCATCCACGTGGTGTGCACCGCGCAGTGGAACACCTGCCTGCCCCTGCTGCAGCACAACCTGCGGCACCACCTGCGCAAGCCGCTGGCCAGCATCGCCGAGGTCCTGGAGAAGGCGGACAGGTAGGCGTGTCTGTGCTGGGTCGTCCCCACGGAGGGCAGCAGGTGGCAGAGGGACAAGGGGAGTTTCCTGATGTCGTGGACAGGGATGAAATCAGACTCGCTTGCCGTGAAAGTGGTGCACGCAGAACGGTCCGCCTGCATCCAGCAAGGATCTGAATGGAGGTCCCCGTGACAAGGACGTCACTCTGCCCACTGGCCCCACAGAGCTGGGCTGACTGGGACCCCCAAACCCAGAAATGCACCCCCACCCTGGACTAGCAAGGAGGAGGCTTAGCACAGGCTTCCTCCTGGGCGGGCACCGGCGGGGGGTCTGCGCCCCGTGAGCTGACGGAAGGGACCTGTCCCTCCACGGAGAGGCCACGTGGGGCTGGTGGGGCTGTGGGACGTGGGGCTGGGGGTGGGTCCTCCTGAGAGGGGGTGTGGTCCACAGGAAGCCCGGGACTGAGGGGAGCGCGTCTGCAGGTGCAACCAGGACAGGCCTGGCCCTCGGTTTCGGCAGCCTCCAGGTGCACCGTGGCGGGTGGGAGCAGATGCTGGGGGACGGTGTGGGGTGTCCGTGGGGCGTTTGTCCGGAGCCCAGGACGCAGAGCCCAGGGAGGCTGGGGACCCTGGTCCGGGTTCAGGAACTCCTGGCTGGAGAGGCTGGAGACACGGTAGGAAACTGCGTCTAGGGGGTGCAGGGCGGGGGTGGGCGGGTGAGGTAGGTAGGGTGCAGGGCGGGGGTGGGCGGGTGAGGTAGGTAGGGTGCAGGGCGGGGGTGGGCGGGTGAGGTAGGTAGGGTGCAGGGCGGGGGTGGGCGGGTGAGGTCGGTAGGGCGCAGGGCGGGGGTGGGTGGGGAGGTCAGGAGGGTGCCAGGGTGGAGGTGGGACGCCCGTCCCTGGCAGAGTTGCTGGGAGGCTACCGTGCGCTCAGGGCTGGGCTTTGAGTAGGTTTCCCCATCCACGTGTGCTTCCCGGGGCGTCCAGCCGCAGTCATGCAAACAGGAAATGGATCGGTGGGGCCCGGCTCCCTATGGCTCCTGTCTCCCTGGGGGCAGGGGTGTGAGCCGCAGGGAGGAGGCGTGAGGGGTCTGCAGGGAGCTGCCCGCTGCCCACGGCCCCTCCGGACGAAGCCCTGGTCACCGGGCGGGGCAGCAGGCGCCAGCTCAGTCCTGCTCGGCTCACGGGGGTCGCGTCCTGTGTGGGCCTCGGTCTCTCCCCAGATCTGGAGAGTTCCGCGGGGACGCCTGCCGGGCCTCAGCTCCGCCTCCCCTTCCCGCAGGCGCGGAGACCCCGAGAGTTCTGACTGACCTCCAGAGCCACTTCTCTTGTATTCCACGTGTGCTCGGTGGTTCTTCCTGCTCGGCAGCCCGCTAGTCTGCTTTTGCTGTGATGACTTTATTTCTCATTTCCAAAAACATCCCATTCATTTATTTTCTGAGCTGCTTGATTTTTAGAAGATAACATTCTAGTTGCCATCTTTTTTCCTGGTAATTATTTTCCTAATCAATTTCGTTGAGGTGTAATTTAAGGCAACAGAATGTGCGCATTTTAAATGGGGAGTCTTTGGGTGGAGGAGTCTTGATGGGCGCACGCAGCCAGTGCAGCCCCTCTCCGGCCAAGGACGTTCCCAGCCCTGAAGCGCCCCGCGGGGCCACCCCTTGCCGCCTGCACACACCGTCCGCCGCTCCCCCGCCCCGGACCCCCTTGCCTGCCTGGACCTCATGGGAGGGGAGGGGAGGGGAGGGTCGCCGCTGCCCAGGTGCGTCCCCCTGCCCCGCCGTGTAGCGTCCCGTAGGGTGCCCGGCAGCGTGTCTGCACCCCCAGAACGGGTGGGCGGCGGGTCGGCTGGCAAGGGACGCGCGCACATGCGCTTCCGGGCAGCTGCGGTGCAGGCAGGTGCGTGGCCGCCCTGCACCCCTGTGACAGCCCGTTTTTTCTTATTTCCCTTGTGACCTTTTACGTGCTCACCAGCCCTTGCCGGTCTCTGCGATGCGCCCGTTCAAAACTCCCATTCCTGTTAAAGATCGTGGGGTGTCGCCCTTCCGGGGACCCCTTGCGTGCACTGGGGCGGGTCTGGGCGGGTGCGCGTGTGACCGGCGTTTTCTCCTCGCCACTGGCCGTCTCTGGTTCCCAGCGGCATCTTTCAGAGAGCACGGGGGGGCAGTGTTGACGTCCCGGCAGTCAGGAATTCCCCGCCAGTTTGGTGCTTGCGTGTCGTGTCCTGGTTTCCTGTTTTCCGTGAGTGGCAACAACTCGCGGCCGCTGGTCTCGGCAACCGTCTGCGCCAAAGTGTTGAGGATCCCACGGAGCTTTGACTCAATATGTCGTACTTCTTGACGTTTGTTGCGTTAGAAAGTAAAATGAAGAAGCGTTAAGCACAAGACACACAAGCATACCTTCCGTTAGACATCAGAACGGTGACATGTCAAGTGCCCCAAAGCCTCTAGACCAGGGGTCCTCAAACTTTTTAAACAGGGGGCCAGTTCACTGTCCCTCAGACCGTTGGAGGGCCGGACTATAATTAAAAAAAACTATGAACAAATTCCTATGCACACTGCACATCTCATTTTGAAGTAAAAAAACAAACGGGCAAAAACACCCACATGTGGCCCGCGGGCCATAGTTTGAGGACGCCTGCTCTAGAATGTTCTTTTGTGTGCATTCATGGAAAATGGGAGTGGACATGGAAAATACTGTCTCGGGGTTGGTGTGAAAGTGGTTTGACCCTGTGGACCTGCCACCCCTGGAGAAGAACAACTCTGGAAGTTTCATGGTGTTTGCTTCGATACCCGTTCAGTGACCCATGGAGAACAAAGTTCTGTGTGTGGGATCATGTAGGGTTTGAGCTTCATTTCTTCCCTGTGTGTGGGAAAATACAGACGATTCAAGTTGTTTCAGGACCACTTTTGAGAAGACTGCCCTTCGCCTGCAGAATCCCGTGGGCTCCTGGCCGGTGGCAGGTGACCTGTGGGTCTCTCTCTGGCCAGTACGTTTGTCCCGCGCTGCCTCGATTGACTGCTGTAGCTTTGTAGTGATTCTTGACATGCGTCGTATAAGTTTCCAGCTTGTTCTGGGACCTTTGTGTTTCCATACAACGTTTAGGGAACAACTTGGCAACTTCTAGGGGAAAACCTGCTGATTTTTTTATTGGAATTGGATTGAAGCTGTCAGTGAATTTTGGGAGAAGCGATGTCATGACAGTATCGATCTCCGGTCCTGGCATGTGCTCTGTCTGGACAACTCAGGTCTTTTCCTTCCCACATGGTGTTCTGTGGTTTCAGTGTGGGGGTGGTGGCCATCGCCCACCAAACTTGTCACTGGGTGTCCTGTGGTTCTTGATGTGATTGCCAATGGTATTGTCTGGCTTTAAATTTCTTATTGTTTCCTATCCTAGAGAGATATGACTGACACTCAAATATTGGCCTTTTGTTCTGTGACATTGCCAAGCTCACTCACTCACCACACGGGTTTATAGATTATTCAGGATTTTCAAGGCAGGTGGATGTTTCTTTTTCCTGCCTCGCGCTTCGATGACTCGGCACACACTCCCGGTGGGGACAGCAGAGGGTGTTGGCTGTCCTCGTCCCTGATCTCAGTGGGGACCCAATCCTCTCCCACTTGGTAAGATGTTAGCTGCAAAACTTTCACCAATTCCCATTCCAGGATGAGGAAGTTCCCGTCTTTTCCTAGTTTGCTGCTAAATGCTTTGTCTTTTAAGGCACGGATGGTGTGAAGGTTTTGAGATGTCTCCTCCCCATGCGTGACACGACGTGTGACCTTGCTCTTCACTGTGTGGGTTGCACACAGTGTGTGTGCATCTGCATGCACGATCTGCATGCCGTCCTTTCTGCGCACAGCCAGGCCTGACCTCCAGGCGTGTTCCAGGTGTGTGGCCACAAGATTGTCCCGTGTGCTCGTGAGGATGCTGCCTGGCGTGTTGCTGCTTCTGCAGTGGCTCCGTCAGGCGTGACATCGAGGTTATGATGACTTCGTAAACGAGTTGCTTTCTGGAGGAGTTTGTGTGGCACGGGCCATGTTTTTCTTTGGCCGTTCGGCAGAATCCCACAGGAACGCCGTCTGGCCCAGGAGCCGTCCTGCCCGCCCTGTCTCTGTGGGGAGGTGTTGGCAACACTCGCCGGGACCCCGGTCGAAAGTCCCTGGCGTGAGAGCCCGTGTGCCTGGGGAGGGGCTCGCCCACTTCCTCATGTCTCTGACCACCAGGCTCAGGCCTTCTGCGTCTGGCCTTTCTGGTCTGACTGTCCCAGCAGTTACCCAGAGAGACACTGAAACTCCGGCTTCCACTGTGGGTCTGTCTCCCCTTCCCTGTAGCTGTGCCACTCGCGGCCGTGTCTCCCGCCTAATGTCTTTGGTCTGGTGGCCCTTGTCCGACATCAGCGTGGCCGGGCCAGCCTGGGCTCCCCGCGGCACCTGCAGCCTCCTCGTGCGCTGATTGTCTCTCGGAAGTGCAGAGACTGTTCCGTCCCCCAGGGCGTGTCTTCTACACAGCGTGTCGCTGAGTCTGGCTCTTGCCTGGCGTCACCACCTGTCTGGTCCCCCTGCCCAGCCCCATGGGGTCCCGGCAAAGGCAGGGGCAGTGGCAGCCCCCCACGTGGCGGGGCATTCCGGGCAGGAGAAACCTTAGCAGGGGAGACCTCTGGCGAGAGAGAGGAGTGGGGTCTCCGGACTGCACCCCTCGGGGGAGCCTGTGGGCTCCAGGCTGTGACTGGGTACTAGAGCCGCTCCACACTCGCCCCGCGGCCCTGCGGGAGCCGCCTGGGAGTGTAGGTGGCTGGGGCAGCGTGGGGTCCCGCACGCCAGGACCCGCTGTGTCAGCCTTGCTGCTCAGCCCTGGGCGCTGGGGTCTCCGTGGTCTGCAGGGTCTTCTCTCTGTGGGTCTCCATTTGTGGGGGTCCGGTGAGGTGGGGATGTTCCTGGAAGGGTGCTGGAGAGTGGGGGGAGGGCGCAAGCCTCACCCTGCACAGCCCCCTCCCCCATGATGCCACGCCCCTCCCCCCGACACTGTGCCCCTGTGCCGTTGCAGTCTCCTGAGCCAGCTGCGCTGTCAGGTGCACATGGAGCTGGCACACCTGGAGGAGGACGAGGACCGGCTGGAGCCCGCCCTGGAGCACCTGCAGAAGGCCGCGCGCCTGGACAGCCTGGGCCTCTACAAGGAGCGGCTGCAGACGGCCACCCACCGGCTGCACCTGTGCACCGTGCTCTACCAGGTCCCCGATCGCGCCGAAGACAAGGCCACCATGGCCATTGAGCAGGTGCTGGCGCAGCCCAGGGAGGGCCGGCAGGCGGGGGTGGGGGAGGGAGACCGGCCGTGGGGGGGCCGGCTGGGCTCTGAGCGCGGGTGGGCGCAGCGCGGAGGGGCTGGGGCCCAGGACAGCGCCGTCGTCCATGGTGCCTGCCACAGCGGCGTCCTCAGGAGGACTAGACAGAGAAGGGCCGCTGGGGACGGAGTGGCGACCTGCTGCCTCCCGCTCCCCCGCAGGCGAAGAGATCCATCGTCAAGGACAGCGTGCGCAGGGAGCGGGCCCTCCTGGCCATGGCCGGCCTGGCCCTGGCCCCCGACGCCTTCCAGATCGTGCTCGACAGCGAGAACGAGGCCAAAGGTGGGTGCCCGCAGACCTGGCCAGGGTGGGGCCCGCTGCGCCCTCGCCCCAGGGCGTGACCGGCCCCCTACCGGCTCACGTCACATCCCCGGACCCGGCCAGGGTGGGGCCCACTGAGCCCGCGCCCCAGGGCGTGACTGGCCCCCACATCACACCCGCAGACCCCGGACCACACCGCGCCCTCTGAGGCCGGTCACAGGGCCCCGGCGGTGGGGGGTGTCATCTCCCTGCAGCGGCCACATGTGTGGCTCAGCTGCCATGGAAACAACAGGAATTTACCTCCCCGGCTCCTAGGGCTGCGAGTCCGAGCTTGGTGTGGTGGGTTCGGTTCCTCCCGAGCTGCGGTCCCCGGCTTGCGGGCGCCGTCCCTGCCTGGTGCTCCAGGGCACCCCGCTCGCCTGCTGTTTTCGGACGCCAGTCGGACAGGGCTGGGGCCGCCCAGGGACCCCACTTCACCTCAGGCACCTCTGTGAGACCCAGCTCCCCGTGCCTCTGTGCTCTGTGGCCCTGGGGGTTCGGGCTTCCATGTGTCTGTTTTGGGGGGACTGGGTTCCGCCCACGGCACTGTCGGGGTGCAAGGGCTGCCCCTGTGTGTGGGGTCAAAGGTCAGACCCACATGGACCCCACTCATGCTGGCCACAGCCTTCCATCCAGGGAGTCTCCCCTGGCTCTGGGTCACGGACATGGGGCTCCCCCCAGTGCGGGGGCAGGGCCTGGCCTGGGAGCCCCTCCCCCGCCCGTGTGGGGGAGGCCGCCGCAGTGTGTCCCTCCCTCGGCTGGCGCTGTCACCCACCTGGACGCCAGGTCGCGTTGCGGGTGCGCGGGCCCTGGGCCAGGGTGAAGGGGCGGCTCTGGGAAGTGGATGGGGGGTCCCACGGCAGATGCCTGTCGCTGCCTCATTTCCCGGGTCACCCGCGCTCTTGGTTTTGTTTCTGTCTTGAGGGGTGAATCTGCCAGCACCACCCAGACACGCCTGTTTTGCTTTCTTGACTCGTTTTACCCACACGCATGTGCACCTGTGGGTGTGGGGCCAGGACAGGACAGGACAGGACAGGACGTCCTGCTGGGCCGCGGGGCTTCTCTGGGGAGGATGCCCTTGCGCTGGGTTCGGAAGGTGGATCTCGCTGGGCGGACGCCAGCCCGGAAGGCCCAGCTCCGAGGGCCCAGCCTCCCGCGGAGGGGTCCCGCGCCAGGGACAGACGAGGCCGCTCTGGCCCAGCGCCCCCACACCCCCCAGTGCACCCCCACCCGCCCGCCCAGCGCAGCCGCGGCGCTGTGAAGCTGCGCTCGGGGTGTTCCGGGCCTGTTTTCGGGAGCAGGGGGGTGAGATAGGAGCTCCAGGCCCCAGGGTAGACGGCGGGTGTGGGGGCCCGGCGAGCAGGGAGGCGGAGGCCGGTGCTTCTGCTTGGAGGGGTGGACGTCGCCACTGAGCAGGGTGGCCGCCGGGTGGCACCTTGAGTCGAGCTGTCCCCGAGGCCACTCGCGGCTGTGCGGGGGCTGGGCTGCCGGGAGCCGCGGATCCAGGAACTTGGGTGGCCGCCCGCCGTGGCCAGGCAGCAGCCAGCATGGGGGCCGTGGTCGGGCGTGTTCTCTGGGATGGGGCTGCGGCCGCCACGTGTCCTGACCCTTCACGGGCAGTGGCCACATCACGTTCCGTTTTCTGCTCTCAGTTTCCACCGGGAAGAACCGGGGCCGGTTCAGCTTCCTGGCGGCGAAGGCACGTCACCACATGGCCAGCGTGGACAAGGCCGGCGGGCACTTGCGGCGCCTGGGGAACGAGAACGAGAAGGAGAGGTATGTGAGGAGAAGCCGCCTTCTGGGGGAAAAGGCAAACGCAAACAGGGCAGTGCCTGCGGGGAGTGTCTGTGACCTGGGCTGTCACCTGAGGGGCCGGGCTGGCAGCGGCTGCCAGGGCTTATGCCGGTCCGGGCGGTGGGCGGAGCCCCAGGGACCTGCCCGACAGGAGACCTCCCTCCATGCCCCAGGAGGGCCCGGCCCCGCAGGGACCTGCCCGACACGAGACCTCCCTCCACGCCCCAGGAGGGCCCGGCCCCTCGGGGACGGGGCTCGGGCAGGACTCGGGCGACGGGAGCTGCACACGTTGTCGGGACTCGGTGACCAGCCCAGGCTGGCCTTTGACACAGACTGGAGGGGTCATGACCCCAGGGAGACCTGCCCCTTGCCCGGGTGGGGGGATGACAGATGGGGCTGACGCTTGGCAGGTGGGACCAGAGAGCTGCGCCCGACCGGCTGGGCTGCCGCGCTCGCCGTGGGCACCGATTACGTCAGGTCACTGTGCAACCTTGAAACCGTTTCCCTGTCTGGGTCGGGTCTTTGGGGACAGGATCCAAATCTGGGCGGAGCTGGCCAAGGCCGCGCGGAAGCGGGGTGTGTGGGATGTCTGCCGGGCGGCCAGCCGCTTCTGCCTGCTCTACGACGGAGCCAAGGGAAGGAGGTCGTGGCGGCTGCGCAGAGGTGTGTGGCCCCGAGCCGGCCGAGTCCCCCTGCCGGGCGGCCCTGAGGGTGGGCCGTGGCCGGAGCCTCCATCCAAGCGGCTCCTGGAGGTGCCGGGACCGGCTGGAGGGGGCGGGCTGCCCGTGTCCAGCGTGGCCTCCCCGTGGGACAGGGTGTCTCAGACACGGCTGCAGTTGGCCCAGTCACTGTGCCTGGTGCTGGTGACGGTCACAGCACGGACACCGGCAGTCACACCTGGTGCCGGGGACACCACGTGACAGTCCTCATGTTGGATCCTCATCACTCAGAGGGTCCTTGGGCCTCAGACTGGGGCAGCCACAGCTGGTGGGCAGAGGGCGGAGGGCAGAGGGCAGAGGGCAGAGGGTAGGCCAGGTGGTCAGCACCCCCGCCCCCAGAGAAGCGCCAGTCTCGGGGACAGTGGGATACACGGACACACAGAGGGAGGTGGGAGATGGAGCAGGGAGGGCCCGAAGGGCCCTGCAGGAGTTGGGGTGCAGCGGACCCCCCAAGCCAGTGGACAGGACGTGGGAGGGAGCAGGTTTCTCAGGCCGGTGCCTCCTCGGGCCGCAGGACCCGCCCAGGGCAAACCAGGAGCATCTCGGGGACGCCAGCCCCTTCCTGGGCATGGTGCCCTCCCCCCCTGCACCCCGGGGGGCCCTGCGGGAGCTGGAGAGAGACAGGCAACAGAGAGGGCTGGGATGGCCGTGTCAGGAGGTGCCCCCCCGCACCCCGGGGGGCCCCGCGGGGGCTGGAGGGAGACCGGCAACAGAGAGGGCTGGGACAGCCGTGTCAGGAGGTGCCCCCCCGCACCCCGGGGGGCCCGCGGGGGCTGGAGGGAGACCAGCACCAGAGAGGACTGGGACGGCCGTGTCAGGAGGGCTTGCCTGAACAGGCATCTTCACGCTGCGCCTCCCGCAGGACGGCGGCGGCGCGGCTGGGAGAGCTCCGAGCAGGATGCGGCCCTGTCGGAGGTGCTGCTGCAGCGGCAGGTGGGCTGCGACCTGCTGCGGAGGTTCGCGGAGGTGGGCTTCATCAACGCCGAGGTGCGTGCTGCGCGGGCTGGAGGGGCCTGGCGCGCCTGCCGCGCAGGGGCTGTGGGCCGAATGTGCCCGAGCTGGCGGACGCCCATCGCGGGCTGCCTGTGCACGTCCATGGAGCTGCGTGGGGGGATGGGGAGGCGGTTCCCGGGAGCTTTTCCAGGAGAAAAGCATGACCCAAAGCGTGTCTCGGTGCGAGTAGGTGTTGGCTTTACGGTAGGAATGATTTCTTCGTTTTTTAATTTTTTGAGACAGAGTCTCACACTGTTGCCCGGGCTAGAGTGCCGTGGCGTCAGCCTAGCTCACAGCAACCTCAACTCCTGGGTTCAAGAGATCTTCCTGCCTCAGCCTCCCGAGTAGCTGGGACTACAGGCATGCACTACCGTGCCCAGCTAGTATTTTCTGTATATTTTTAGTTGGCCAATACATTTCTTTCTATTTTTAGTAGAGACAGGGTCTCACTCTTGCTCAGGCTGGTCTTGAACTCCTGACCTTGAGTGATCCGCCCTCTTCGGCCTCCCAGAGTGCTGGGACCACAGTAGGAATGGGTTCTGAGTCGCTAGTGCGAGTCCCATGGGCACAGCAGGTGGTTCCCTGTGGGGCGTGTAGGCCGGTGCAGACTCTAGGAGCACTTTGACCAGGTGTGGGTGGGGCGGGGGCCTGGCCTAGACCGCCAGCCCAGCCCCAGTGAGCCTGTGCCCCCAGCGGCACCAAGACGCCGGCCGGCCCCACCCAGGGTCAGCAGGGAGAGCCAACTGCAGGCACCCCACGCCAACCCCAGCTCTGAGCTTCCAGCCCCGCGCCTGCGCCAACGCCAGCGGTGACGCTCGGGACGTTTCATAGCCCAGAACCCGCGCGGCGCTCTGGTCTAAGGCCTGTGGGCGCAATGTGCGCGCGGCCCTCGGCCCTGGGGCCGGAGGTGGCTGACGCCGGCGAGGGGCCCTGTGGCAACTGGGCGCGGGGCGGGCGTGAGCCGAGACCCCCAACAGCGGAGCGGACACCCACCCGCCGGGGGGCCGGCGTCGGAGAGGCCTTCGGGGCCTCCGGGCTGCCACAGGCGGCCTGTCCACGCCAGGCTGCCGCCCTCCCCAGCCCCACCGGCCTGTCTCCCGTGGGTGGGCAGCCTGGCGCTGCAGACGCACTGGCGACGCACCCGGGGGTCCGCGTGCGGCGGTGCCGGGACGCTCCGGTCTGTGCCGGGGCGCGTGGCCGCGCTGCGCGTGCAGGGAGCCCTCCCCCTGCGAGCCGGCTGCAGGTGCAGAGCCCAGCGCTCCACTCCTGTCTGGTCCGTGGGTGGCCGTCGGGCAACGGCGGCTTGGGGTTCACCCCAGTCTTCCCTCCTCGTGTGTGGCGCCTTAAGACCTGAAGGGGAACGAGGAGGCGTGGCTGTGTCCCCTCACCCCGTGCCACCGCCCGCCCCGCAGGCCACCGTCCAGCTGCTGCGCTCAGAGGGCGTGGAGCTGAACAACCGGCCCGTGCCCCCTGAGGACCTGAGCCAGCACCCGGCTGGCTACGTGCCGGAGCCCCCGGAGAGGAACGAGGACTGGATCACGTACAGGTAGGCCGCCCTGCGCTCGCAGGACATGCGTGTGCCGTCTTCACGGATGGGCGAGCCTGCCCATGGAGACGAGGTTGCCGGGACCGTCTCTGTTTGTAGCCACGTGTCCTAGCGAGGCGGTGAGCGGGTCAGTGTGCTCATACGTGTGAGTCACCGTACCAGGCGGTGTTTCCCAGCGTGTCCTTGTAAACCGCCGTCCGTTCTAGCTAGCCTCGCCGTCAGCAGAACTCAGCCGGCGGGGAGAGCGCGTGGGGCGGAGATGTGGAGGGAGGTTTCTGTGTGGGGACGTCTCTCCCGCCCGGCCCTCAGCCGAGCAGGGCTCCCGCTCTCCCCTCCGGCCGGTTGGGGAGGGGACAGAGGAGGGCCCGCCTGGGAGCCAGGGCCAGCCGTGCTTGTTCAGCCCCTTGCTGAGGGCAGCTTTGAAATTCTAAAAACTTGTAAAAAAGAAATGGGGAAATTTGGCAGCAGGGACCCCTAGGGCTCACGAACGGCTGAACACCCCCCAGAGAAGGCGTGGGGGCAGGGGGGGCCTGGGGGCGGAGGGACGCCTTTGAGCCTGGGGGAAGGCGACAGGTAGCCGGGCAGGTGAGCAGGTGAGCGCAGGGCGGGAGCTCAGGCCCTTGGAAGCAGCCGGGCGGCTGCTGGTGTCGGGGGCTGGGGACAGACTGGGGCTGCACCGAGGGCCTGTGCCTGTGCCGGGAGGCCCGTCTGGGGAAGGCTGCGTCTCCAGCCACGAGCTCCACCGCGTGTGTTTCACAGAAGCTGGATAGAAGGCCTGTCCCAGTACGCCACCAGCAACTGGCTGCGCTCCGCGGACATCGGGCAGGAGATCCACGAGGCCTGGGTCGTGCAGAACGCCGTGGTCTACGTCCTGAACCACAACCACCACCTCATCCAGGCCGGGCGGCAGAAGGAGCTCGTGGGCACCTTGAACCACCTCCTGAGCACCGTCAGGGACTTTGGCCACGACGAAGTGTGCGTGTAGGCCCCGCCACGCCGCGGCCGCGGGCAGGGAGGGGCGGGAGCGCAGCCCGTCCCTCGGAGAGACCCGGGTTTTAGGCTCGGGGGCTGCGGTCAGCGTGTCCACTCTGGGGGCGATGGCGGCCGCAGAGAGACCAGCCGGGCTCAGGGAGGTCCACAGACCACGCCCGCGACTCTACCTCCTGCTGTGCGTGCCAGCCGGACGCTCACCTCTAACCCCAGGCGGCTTGCGGCCGGCACTGGGGCGTGTGGCCTGCCTGGCCGGGGCGGGGCCGAGACCCTGCGGAGCTGTCACTCCGGCCATGGCCGGCCGCCCCCCTCTGCTGCAGACGCAGTCCGGGGACGGGTTTGCCGACGGCCCACGTCACGCGGGAAAGCGACTCAAGGCTCATCCTGGTCTGGATTTTTTGGGGGGACGGGGTGTTGAAAATTCTGTGTTTTTTAATCCAGATGGACGTGACGTGTGAGAGACTGACGTTTTCCCAGCTCAAATCAGACATTCGAAGTTGTAGAGTTGGGTGGAGACTTCACCTAGCTAAGATGGAAAGACTGCGCACTCTTTGTCGCTTTGGTTTTTGGTCTACACAATAGGGTTTTAATTTTTTTCCATCGGATGGTGACGTAGGACTGAGGGATGAGTCAGGGTGGATGCAGGTTCTGCGTTTAGATCACGCACAGTAGGAGGACGGGCCTGCCGGTGACCACTCGCGGGGCTCTGCCAGGGCATGGGTGAGGCCCGGCTGGCCCGAGCGCCCTTGCCTGGCCCGGGGAGCCCTGGGACTCGGCGCAGCCGTCAGCGCCGGCAGCTGGGCCTCTCCTGTAGTTCCGCTGTCCCGAGAGTTTCTGTCGTAGACAAAGATCAGACCGTTTTGACTCTTGTAAGTGTTTTGGAGCTAGCGTGCTCCCCGTGAGAACCGCGAAGGCCCTGGTCTAGACCCGTCCACCGGGTAAGGGACGTGGCGGCTCCGACCATCCCGGATGGCCCTTGGGGGTCCTGGCAGCAGGTCAGGGGGCGCTGCAGCCTTTCTGCCTCTGACCAGCTCCTCGGGGCACTCTGAGGAGTCCAGGCCGGGGGTGCCGCTCTCACTGCAGCCTGGAGCCCACCTGTGGGAGGAGATGGGGCACCTGGGCAGCAGGGACTCCTCCCCGCTCTTTCCCCTGGGCCCTGAGAAGGGCTCCTGAGCCTGCACCTGGGAGGGCAGGTAGCCCCTTTCCTGCTACATTCCGCAGAGGAGTCACGCGGCCATACTCGGTCGCCCTGGCCCGTGCCCTAGGACCTGGGGCCGCAGCGCTGGGTCCTCGCGGAGCCTGAGCTGCCCCGGGCTGCGGCTTCTCCTCGGTGACGTGACGCGCTCTTTGCAGGGACCCCGAGATGCTGGCCATGCTCTGTGACACGCTGGCCCGCGGCCTGGTGATCGGCTGGATCCCCCCCCAGGTGTTCGAGAAGTCGAGAAAGCCCGTGCGGACGATTATCTTCCACACCCCGCCGGACTCGGGGGCTGCCTCTGAGATCAGGGCTGCGGTGGAGGTAGAGCTCGTTGATTTGATTGATTGATCTAACAAGGTCACATGCAGGAAACTTCAATTAGATGCCCATGAAACATACATCGCTTTGTAAAAATCTAACTACTGTGTACTTAATAATTTCAAAAAATGAAAACAATGCCTCTGCATGAAAACTACCCTTTTAAAATGTACTAATTTTAAAGTTATTAGGTTGGTGCAAAAGTAATTGCAGTTTCAGACCATGAATTTCAAATCATTGTGTTAGTAACTAGGCTCGAACACATCTTTGTTGATTAACAATCAACACATTTTGGCCAACAATAAATAAGTTTGTTTATTCCTGTAGCATAAAAATCTGTGCTTTGGGATTTGAGGAACTCTTGGAAAGCGTTTTCTGCATCCTGCTGGTTGTGGGAGCGCTATCCCTGCGAAGGGCTGTCGAGACGCGTGAAGTGGCAGCTGGTTGGCGAGAGCTTGGATGAACACGGCGGATGAGGCAAAACTTCGTAGCCCGGTTCGTTCAGCTTTTGAAGCGTTGTTGTGTGACGTGCGGTCAGGTGTTGCCATGGAGAAGAACCGGGCCCTTTCTGGTGGCCAATGCCGGCTGCAGACATTGCAGTTCTCCGTGCATCTCATGGATTTGCTGAGCAAACTTCTCAGATGTTCTGGTTTCACCAGGATTAAGAAAGCTCCAGTGGATCACACCACCAGTGACCGTGGCCTTTTTTCGGTGCAGGTTTGGGTTTGGGTCGTGCTTTGGAGCTGCTTCTCAGTCCAGCTGCTGAGCTGGTTGTCGCTGGCTGTCGTATACAATCCACTTTTCATTGCACATCACAGTCTGGTCAAGAAATGTTTCATTGTTGCATACAAGAGGAGAAGATGACACTTCACAATGACGATGTTTTTGATTTTCAGTCTTCTCATGAGCTTTTTCACCTTTCCAATTTGCTTCAAATGCTGAGCTACGTAGAATGGTCGACTTGAGTTCTTCGGCACCTTCTCGTGTGGTTGTGAGAGGGTCAGCTTCGACGACTGCCCTCAGTTGGTCGTTGTCAACCTCCGATGGCCACCGCGCTCCTCATCTTCAAGGCTCTCGTCTCCTTTGCAAAACTTCTTGAACCCCCACTGCGCATTTGTCGTCCATTCCTGGGCCAAATGCGCCCCCTAAATGATGTAGCAAGTTCAAGATGTAGCATTTTGCACTCGAATAAGAAAATTGCTTGAGTTTGCTTTTTGTCTAACATCGTTTCTATAATCTAAAATAGATATAAATAAACAGCAATAAGTCATTAGCAAAAAAAAATAAAACGAGAAATGTGCATTCAAATGATGTATAAATTTGACTGGCTTTAAAAAAAATAAACAAAATGATGTATAACATAACCACAATTCTCTAAGAGTGTATTCTGATAGCAAACGTCAACTTTCAACAGCACTAAAACCGCAGTTATTTTTGCACCAACCTAATAACTAACCTATTCATGACTTTGTCACGTCTGCTTTTCGTCGGAAAGCATTTGGGTATTTGGTTGCAGCGTGGGCAGGTGTGTGTTCACCTTGTGCTGCAGTGCGAAAGAACAGCCAGAGAGTGATGTCCCAGGTCGTGAACGGTCCCTGGGTGGCCAGCACCCAGGGCGCAGGACCAGGCTCCGAGCAGGGCCCTGGGGCGCTCTCGAGACCTGCACCCCGCTGTCCCTGTGGAGAGGAGGGAACTGGGCACTCGGCAAGCAGGGGAGGGCGCTGGGTGCAGCCCCGCCCGGCCCCAGACCCACCCCCAGCTTCTCTGACCCCAGGCTGCCCTGAGGGGCACCTGCTGGGCTGGCTTTAGCGCCGCCAGCAGGCGAGGACTGCGTGCGCTTGAACCTCCTTCACGGCTGGACCAAGGGCTGGGGCCGTTCATCCCTCAGTGTTTAGCGATTTAGATCTCGGCTCAAGTTCCCCCAGGTAGAATTCAGGTTTTGTAATGGAGGACACATCTGTCCTAGGTCTGTGAGTTTGCTCTGAACCTGACCAGCGGGACTGTGCCCGAGGAGGGGGTCCCCACCCGCGCCCGGCAGCGGCTCATTGCCACCTGGGTGAAGGCCAAGCAGCTGCTGCAGCAGCAGATCGGACCACGGCTGGGCACGGAGGAGCAGGTGGGCAGGTGGGGGGCTGGGCCCAGGTGGGCTGGTGGGCAGGTGGGGGGCTGGGCCCAGGTAGGCTGGTGGGCAGGTGGGGGCTGGGACCAGGTAGGCAGGTGGGGGGCTGGGCCCAGGTGGGCTGGTGGGGGGCGGGGTGCAGGCAGGCAGGTGGTCCACACCACACTCTGGGGCCTGGTGCTTTGCCTGTGCACTGTGGACATACTTGAGACAGGGTGGGGGCTTGCGGGGGGCGTCCCTGGGGCCCCTTTGCTTTACCTTTTCCCAGCACCATCGGGGATGTCTGGGGACTCGCTTTTCCCACTGAACCCGCTGCCTGTCCTCAGGGCCCCTTGTCAAGGCCTTACCTGGAGGCTCGCCCAGGCCAGGGTGTCACCTCCTGGCAGGGCCAGGCCCCAGCTGCGAACACAGAGGGCAGGAGGCTGGGGAGGGGGGACTTGGGGAGCAGAGGGCTCAGGGCGGCCCCACGAGTGCCCGGGCTCCTGCAGAGAAAGCCCCCCAGGGCAGGTGCTGGATGGTTGACACCTGAGCCAGGGCTGGGGGGCAGGGCGGGAGGTCGTGGGGGTCCTGGTGGGGGAGGGGCATCTGAGCCTGGCCGGAGGGAGGGTGGGGAGGTTGCCCACACCAGCCAGGAGGCGGAGAGGGTCGCCTTGCCTGCCCTGGGCAGCCCCCACCCCAGGGCCCACCAGCCTCCTGGCGGCCGGGGTCACCCAGTGGTCAGGTGACGCTGCTGTTGGCCTTGGGGTCCCACAGCCTCCCGGCCTCGATGGCCCGAGACAGCTGCGGGAGGCAGACGGGTGCACAGGAGCCTCGAGTTCCACACCTGTGGTCCGACTATCGCCGTGAGGCAAACATTCCACGGCGCTAAGTTCAAGACTGTTCCAGCTTCCCCCAGCTCCGCCTCCCCCCAGACCCCCAGGCTGACACGCCCTATGCTTCCCTCCCGCAGGGCACCAACAGCGAGGAAGTCGGCTGTGTGACCAGGGTCCTGGTGGCCTTGGAGATGTACTCGTGCAACGGGCTGGGCCTCATGGACTTCACGGTCCCCCCACTCGCCCAGGTGGGTGTCGCCCGCTGTCCTGGGCGAGCAGGAGCGTGTGAGGCTGGCCCCAGCTCAGGGAGCGGAGGAGGTGCAGGCTCAGAGGGCCCTGCCCAAGGGGGCGGGATCCATTCCCGCTCACCCGCCCCCCATGCTGCCCCTCCCAGCTCAGTCTGGCATTTGGGGAGTCCCCCCAACCCCGTGACAGGACAAGCGGTTTCCCTGTGCAGACCCTCCATGCCCTGCCCACCCGAGCAACTGGGCCCAGGTCACGGCACCACAGGGGCTGCACATGCACAAGCCCACGCCTGGTGGTGTCCACACAGAAACATGGGGCCCTTGGGGCGTCACGGCTCCTGAGCAGTAGCTCAGCGCTGGCAGCGTTTTGCAGTGCAGGAGATCCCACAAAAGTCATGCCTCTGTTTGGAATGACATGCCAGACAGTCCGTGTCCAGACGGATGTTACACCGCGCTTAGGGCTTGGCCAGAAAAAACAGGCACGCGTGCTCACAGCGCAGCCCTGGGCTGTCGGGAAGCCGCGTCACTGACACGACGCCCCTTCTCCTGCCACCGGGAAGCTGGTGAAGATGGCCTCCGAGTGCAACTGGCCAGAACCCCTGGTGGAGCTGCAGACCCTGACGCGGCTGACCCACTTCGCCCATGCGGCGCGTGACCACGAGATCACCATGGCCTGCTCCCACCAGGCCATCGAGTTGGGCATCAAGTACCTGAGGACGTTTGGTCCGTAAGTAACCCCTGTCCTGAAGTGGACCAATCGCTGACAGTGGGCACAGGGACCTGGAGCATGGTCCCAGATCACTCCATGTGTGGGAGGGTCTGAGATCACAGGTCCATGTGAGGGAGGGTCCAAGATCACAGGTCCATGTGAGGGAGGGTCCAAGATCACAGGTCCATGTGAGGGAGGATCCCAGATCACAGGTCCATGAGCAGGAAAGTCCAACAGGTCTAGGTGCTGGAGGGCCCCAGGTCACAGGTCCACGTGTGGGAGGGTCCGACAGGTCTAGGTGCTGGAGGGCCCCAGATCACAGGTCCACGTGTGGGAGGGTCCGACAGGTCTAGGTGCTGGAGGGCCCCAGATCATAGGTCCACGTGTGGGAGGGTCCGACAGGTCTAGGTGCTGGAGGGCCCCAGCTCACAGGTCCACGTGTGGGAGGGTCCGACAGGTCTAGGTGCTGGAGGGCCCCAGATCACAGGTCCACGTGTGGGAGGGTCCGACAGGTCTATGTGCTGGAGGGCCCCAGATCACAGGTCCACGTTGGGGAGGGTCTGAGATCCCAGGTCCAAATGCGTGAGGGTCCGTGATCACAGGTCCACATGTGGGAGTGTCTGAGATCACAGGTCCATGTGAGGGAGGGTCCCAGAGGTTCAAGGGGAGTGGTCCATGAGGTTCAGGCTGAGCGGTGGCTCTGAGACGACGCAGCCCACCTCACCAGGTCACAGGGTCCCGTCTGCAGGTCTCGAGATGGCCCCGCCCAGGCACATGACGGCCTCCACCTCACACCATGTCCTCACGGACCCCACGGTCAGCAGTGGTCCTGCGGGGAGCTGGGTGAAGGATTCTGAGGTCACACGTGCCTCGGCAGAGAGGAGCGTGTGGCCCACCGGCCATGCACGTGACAGGCACAGAATGGGTGTCTCAGCCCCTTCAGGCTGCTGTGACAAAGTGCTGCAGCTGGGGACTCACATAGCAGTTTTGGCTCCTGGAGGTTGGAAGTCCAGGATGAAGGTGCAGGAGGTCGGGCTCTGGGGGGACCCGCCTCCTGGCTGGTGACGGCGCCTATCATTGTGCTCTCTTGGCGGAGGGACGGGGCGGGGCACAGGGTCCCCTTTGCAGGCTCCACCTGCCGGACCTGCCGCTCCCCAGGCCCCGCCTCCAACGGCGTCACTGGCGCTGCGGTCTCAGCGTGTGCGCTTGGTGGGCTGTGTGCAGTCCACAGCAGGCCGTGGCTTTGTTTGAGGTGATTTCCAGTGACGTGTGCGCACGCTGAACAAATGTGCGCGTGCACAGGGAGGAAGGACGCACCTTCCGCCCCAGACTGCGCTGCCCCTTGGCTGCCCCTTGGCTTCCGGCTCTGCTGCTGCCCCCGCGGCGGCTCCGCCTTCGGGGCGCCCACGGGGCCGTGCGCGTGGCGCTCCTTCCCACACTCAGTGGCGGCATCGCTCGCACTTTCCCCCTATTTCTGAACACAAGGCTGTTTTCAGTGTGTCGCCCTTACGGATTTTCTGCAGTGAAGGCAGTTTTCCTCGAGGTCCTTCCTTCCGGCTTGTTTCCCGAACGACGAACTCTCTGACCCGAAGGTGACGAAGGCGTGTCCTGTGGCCAGATGGTCAGGTTGGTCGCCCGCTGCCAGTCCAGCAGCGCCTCCCCGGCCCGAGATCCGTCTGCCGCAGCCCCGGGGCGCTCGTGTAGGATGACACCGGCCACGTGTTGGGGTGTCTTTGGGATGGCGGGGTCGCCTGCCCTGCCCATGGTGGCGGCCCGGCCGCGGGCCTGGGCCTGGCTGTGCAGAAGCCCATTCCTGGTGCAGGGGGCTGCTCAGCGAGAGCGACCTTCCGCCAAGACAGCCGGACCAGACAGTCCTTTCTGGTGGTGCTTCTACTGGCGTCCCTCTCCCCCGGCTGCAATTTGTCTCCTCTACACGCCGCCATCAGAGTCAGCCGGCTTCCAAAAGGGCAGGGCACACCTGCTGCCGCCCCCCTCGGTCACCGCTGCCTGGGCCTGGAGTGCGGCCCCCCATGGCACTTGGGCCCCCACCTGGGACCAGCTCCCCCCCTCCATCCCCCCCTGCAAAGCTGCGCCTGCCAGCAGACATGCCAGGTCAGTGGCGCACGGGAAGGGCCCGCGAGCGTCTCTAAGGAAGCCGCGTCCGGGAGCAGGAAGCATGAGGGCTGCGCCCTTCTCAGAAACCACGCCAAAGCTAAAAGAAAGTGGAACGTCCAAGCGGAAGTAACTTTCATCCTAGAATCCTAACGATCAGTCAAGTATAAGGTTAAATAAATCCGTTTTTAGACAGACAGGTGCACAGAGAATGTACTTTCCATGTACCTTTCTAGAAAGTTCCTTGAGAGTATGATTTAGAAAACAAGGGAATGAGCCAAAGGCGAGGAAGACGTGGTGCTGGAGGGTGTGGATCCCGCTGTGGAGCAGGGGCAGAACGGCGTGCCGCTGCTGCACAGTGCTGATCAAGGGCGCCTCGTGGGGACCTGCACTGTCGAGACATAATGGCATCTCGCAGTGAGACATAAAATACAACACAAAGAAGTTCCCGTTGGCACCTCAAGACAGTACACCGAACCTCTTCAACCAATGCGAATAA